GAAGTTATACTATAATTACTACCCTAGAAAAACAATACGCAAAGCATATTGTTTTGAGTCCTCTTGCCACTCCCCAGGTGACACCTCTTTTTCAGTCATCTTCAGAAGTATGTTATCTCCTTAACGGAAAGGCAGGACCCATTCTGAAAGAATAAAACAGTTAATTTGAGAAGGGATCCAGAGTGAAGTTAGGAAAAGAGAGAGAGATAAATGATTAGCTTGTTAGATTGCTTTGTATTTTTAAAGAAAGTGCAAATAATTTGATTATTACTAAAGCATGATTAACAATAATGGAAACTATTAATAATAGTGGAATGACAATCATGTCCTCACAGTTAAATGGATTAGAAAACCAAGCCCATCCATCTTTGCCTTTCTGTGCTTTGAGTGCCTTCTCTAGACTGAGCCGAAGTCATTAGAGAGTCTACTAATACAGATAAATTCTGGAGCTTCGGTTGTCCAGAAAGGTGATCTTAACAATAGGATTTCAGTGGGAAGACAGACGAAGAGGCAGAAAAGGATCTTCTTGAGACTAAGGACTCTAGGAAGGAGATTGAAAAGTGTTTTCTGAAAAGCAAGGTTTTCCTTATCAGTGATGGACTTGCTGATTAGCTAGTCTTAAAAACAAAAAAGTACCCTTTAGTTGCAACTTCGTTGAGTAAACACAATTTCCCCAAAACCCACTTACTCAAAGAGATCTACGTTGTAGCAACCTGTCAGGTTTTGAAAGGCAATCATATAGTCACGGGTTGTTCAGATTACTTTCTGGTCACCTGAGTTCAATGGGTTGTATATATATTTTACCCCAAGTGTGTAGGTGTCACCCACATCCTGAGCCACAGCAATAACAGTCATAGATAAGATAAAGTCTCAAACATTGGGGAGTGAGACCTGGATCAGGCAAACAAGTCACTGGCAATTAGATGACTAGTTAGCCACCTTATATGAGCAAGAAAACATGGAGGACTCAGTGTCATATCAAGTGAAACTAAGTTAATAAGTATAATCTTTATCTTCTTTCAAAGTAACTAATCCTGAATGGCAAATAGCTCACTATCTAATCAATATCTAATTGATAAGGCCATCCTCTGTGGACTGTGCCTCCTGGAGTTGCCCATCAAGACACCGGAGTTGTTCAACAAGTACTCTTTGAGTATCTGCAGCGTTGCCACTGGTCCAGATGATGGAGGCTGTTATAGAATAGTGGGGAGCTAGGAAAATTTCAGGGCGAGTAGAATGGGGAAACATGCTTAAACAGCAGTTTGTGTCCACTTAGTAAATCCTATCTTCCCTAAACCAAGGACACAGAGTAAATGCTTTTCACTTCTCCCTAACTAGAGGGTAAATAGTTTAAATCTTCCTACTCGGGGAGACAGATAACACAAATCCAGTTAAGTGACATTTGCCAACCACACCCAAGGACAGATAGGTTAAGAGTATAAATCTCATTTTGGTGCATCAGCATAAAGCTGATGAATATTCTATTGATCTGTTCCTAAGACCTCCCCTAAAGCCCAGTCTTTAAAACTCCTAAAAATGAAGGTCCCAGTGCACTCTCTCCAAGAAGCATGCCAGTGCCATCCCCCCCCACCCCCTCGCCAGGTGTCCTCTAACTTCTAAGGGACCCCATGAGACTTGCAACCAGGGGAGCAATGGGCAGCAGCAGCTTGTCCTGGGCTAACCCCCTGAACCTATTTCCAAGGCCCCCTTTTCCCCTTTTTCTCTAACTTCTCAGTGAGTGAAAGCAGCCCAGCCTAGGCTCTCCTGTTGCTTCTTCTATGTCCTTCCTTGTTTCACTGTCCTAAGAATGTTTTTGCTGTGTTCAACAAATTCTCTTTTAAAAATTAAGTTTATTGGGATGACATTGGTCAACGTGAACATATAGGCTTCAGGTGTGGGTTTCTCTGTTACAAGGTCCGTATATTGCACCGTGTGCCCACCACCCAAAGTCAAATCTTCTCCTGTCACCACATATTAAATGAATTAGCAGCAGCTTGTCCTGGGCTAACCCCCTGAACCTATTTCCAAGGCCCCCTTTTCCCCTTTTTCTCTAACTTCTCAGTGAGTGAAAGCAGCCCAGCCTAGGCTCTCCTGTTGCTTCTTCTATGTCCTTCCTTGTTTCACTGTCCTAAGAATGTTTTTGCTGTGCTCAACAAATTCTCTTTTACAAATTAAGTTTATTGGGATGACATTTGTCAACATGAACATATAGGCTTCAGGTGTGGGTTTCTCTGTTACAAGGTCCGTATATTGCACCGTGTGCCCACCACCCAAAGTCAAATCTTCTCCTGTCACCACATATTAAATGAATCTTATTTTTTTACACTTTGTCTCTTGAGTGTGACCTTTCCCTCAAGAAGACAAGCACCCAGGGCTCCTCATTTTCTTATCTCCCCGTATCTCCCCAGTAACAGGGACCTGGGAGTGAATGACCAATTGGGAGTGCTGGTGAAGCTGGGAGGGAAAAAGTGGGTGATGGAAGGACGGACTGGGCAAGGAAGGACTATTATGCCAGGGACAGGGCGAACCGAACACATGCACAGCCAGCAGAGGGGACATTGAAGACTCAAGCCTAGGAACATGGAGGAAACAGGAGGCTACAGGCTCAGATTTTTGGAAAGGAGAAAGAAGTCTTATTTGGAAAGAGAAGTAAAGGGAGAGAGGAAGAGTACTATCTGGAAAGACTCTCTTAGGTGGGGAGGTGGGACATGAGGCCAGCTAGCCAGAGGTGGTCCCTCTGTGAATGGGGCTAATCTTTACTCTCAGGGACGGGTGATGGGATTCAAACAAGATGGAACAGTGAAGGCCCTTATAGGGAGCCCTCACGAATGCAGTCTTAATTATACTAACTGGTAGGGAGCAGAGTGCAGGTGAGTTCAGGGACCTGAAGTGGGTGAGGTTTGGAGGAGATAACTGGCAGGTCTGGGGGGAGGGGGGGCAGATGGAAGGAGGCATGATAATGGTTAATGACTGATTTCTTCCCTCTAGCAAAAAACTGGAGATGGGGATAGTGACATAGAGGGGGTGAAGGAGGGGACAACCTAAGTCACAACTCTACCATTCCTTGACCTCAAGAAGTATGATGAAGCATGTCTTGGTGCTCCAAACTTCTCCCTAGAGACTGTGTGAAATTATAAGGACTTAATATGAGTTAACAAATAAGTATCCCTGAAGAAGGGGCCTGGAGAAAGGCTATCAGTATTGAATATTTTTTAAAAAAATATATTTTATTGACCTTTTACAGAGGAAGGGAGAGGGATAGAGAGTTAGAATCATCGATGAAAGAGAAACATTGATCAGCTGCTTCCTGCACACCCCCCTACTGGGGATGTGCCCGCAACCAAGGTACATGCCCTTGACCGGAATCGAACCTGGACCCTTCAGTCCGCAGGCCGACGCTGTATCCACTGAGCCGAACCGGTCAGGGCCGTATTGAATACTTTAGAGTGGATGAACCAATGTGTTAGGCTTAACAAAAGCATGCCAGAATGCTGAGGAAGTGAGAACTCTGCAAGGTGCCCCAGTGGGCAGAGCAGAGCACTGTCACTCAACAGTAAGGAAAGGGCCCAAAGAAAGCAGAAAGGTCGTGTTGAAACAGGAGTCTGGGATTACACATCATACAGGGGTGAGCTGGGAATACTAGGATGCCTGTGAGGCAGCTTCGCAAGAAGCTTTTCTGCATTCCTTCAGAGCCTCTCTCTCTATATATATTTACTTACTGATTGATTTCAGAGAGGAAGCGAGAGGGAGAGAGATAAGAGACAAATGCTGAGAGAGAATCACCAGTCAGCTGCCTCCTGCACGCCCCCTAGTGGGGATTAAGCCTGAAACCTGGGCATATGCCGTGGCCAAGAATTGAACCGTGACCTTCTGGTCGATTGATGCTCAAACACTGAGCCCCTCCCTCTTTGGGTTTCACCTTGTCCTGGAGCCTCACAGTATCTTTGTTATCTAGACAGTCAGAAATGTCAAACTTTTAGGAAGTAAGACACAGCTGGAAGGGAGTTCACACATTCTGTTGTTTAACCTTATTTTACAGATGAGGAAATCAAGGATCAGAGGAAAGCGACTTGTTTAAGGTGACAGCAAACCAGCAGCTGAACCAGAATCAGAAGAGCCCTAGAATCTTGCCTCGTGTCCTGCGGCACCCGGCCATCTGCTCAATAGAACCTCCAGCTCGCTTAACTTCCTGCACACCCACACAACACCACGAACAGCTCTGTGGAAGTTAATGATTAAAATCTGGTCTGCTCTAAAGCATCTAACCAGTTACTAATTAAGCAAATTTCTGTGAGAAGACATTTCAAACAGAAAAGTGTTCTCTTAAGCTAAATCTATATGCCTTCAAATTGTAGTTGGCATAAACTGTACAATTATAATATTTCAAGGGTACTTAAAAATATTTCATAATTCAATGCATCAACCTCTAGCTTTAGATTTTCTCCTCATTGCAGGCCTCATGTGAGGCCATGATAAAATGGCTTTGTAACTTTTTGGGGGTGATTTAACTAAAATAACTTCGCTGAGTGTTGGAGTGAACAAGGTAATAAAAGCTGTTTGCTGTGCCCCGTCTCCAGACAGGGCTGTAATTACACCACAAGGAAGAAAGGCAGCTGAATCCCACTCCCGGTCATTTCTGTGAACTCAGCCTCCTTGTCATCGGTGCTCTCACATTGCACGCGAACCGCAGAGCTATCTCCTGTGAGTCGCAGAGACAGGTCTGGTTGCAGGGCCGTGAGCTGGCTTACATTCCTTCTGAAACTGATGTCTGTGGTTCAAAAACCAACATTGACATTCTGAGGTTTTAAAAAAGTATTGCCAGTGAATTCCCCTGAGCAACACACACACACACACACACACACACACACACACACACACACACACGAAACTTGTAAAAATTAAAGGTATTCTTTATGCCAAAGTATAACACATAAATGCATCTTACTCAAAAAAGTATTTTGTTCAGTTTTTAAAAAAACTTTTATTCTTTGAAATGTGTTTAAAAAGAAAATTGATCTTTAAGAAAGAAAAACAGGCAATTCCTACTACAGCCAAGTTAACTTTTGATAACGTTTTAATCTCTTAATTCAACTATTTGACATTTTTCCCCCAACAATTTTCCCCAAATCTTACAAAAACCATGAAGTGAAAGTATATTCACACGGGGTCTGTAAACACAGAGACATAACTGCCAGAGGACAAAGCACAGTTTTTCTTAATCACTGAACTGCCCTCTGGCCTCTGGTCTGTGAAGCGACAGTCCCCCGGGCTGGCACTGTCAGCGTGTCCCTTGACACCTGCAGCGCCCAGCTTGCTCTGTCCTCTCTAGAAGGAAAACCACAGGCCACCGCCCTGGCGCCATCCCTGGCTCGGTCCAATCAATAAGGACTTATTTCCTGTCCATTTGCTGAGGTCACAGGAGCGAATCTCATTAATTATTTCTGCTACTGCAGCCTCAAGTGTGCTTCTGGCGTGACAAAGGAAAACGGCTTGACCTTTTTTTTCTTCTAATTTTGTTTGTAGGAGATCCAAAAAAGATGGCAGTATGCATTTAGCAATGTGATAAAAAGAAGAAAAAACCATGTGTATGTTTTTAAAGTCATTAGCAAATTGAGATATTTCATTATGAAAGCTCGCTGGATCACCTCATCCCTGTTTTTCCAGCTAACGAACAATAGTGTCTTTTTAATCTGGTGTCACGAAAATCTGGTCACAGCAAACACAATGTTTTCTAAAGCAGATCGGGCCTCGGAGGGAGGAAAGCTCTCCAGGGCCGCCAGGGCCTTGTTTCCATGGTAACGACACAGGTCAATAGCTGAAGTCACACCTTTGCCAGCTTTGATTGCTTCTCGTAACTGTTAAGAAACAAACGCACAATAAAAGTCAGTTTTTAAGGTACCACAATTAAACTGGGGAGGGGAGGTGAAAAACAAAGAAGGGGACAACCAGTATAGATTCCTTGTGCCAGCTCATTCTCTTGAGGTAAAGAGGACATTATCCCCCAGTGATCTCAAGGCACTAACGTTCAGAACCGAAGGCTGCTCAGCGTCTGCCTCCAGGGGAGCACAATGGGCTCCAATGAGCCCAATTACACCTCCGCAGACTCCCACCCCCTGGTATCTTGAAATGTGCCCTGCTGGGGGCTGGGGGAGTGACGTGGAGGACATTTGCGTTTCTGGCATTTTGAATTCAGCAGCCTAATATTGTCATGTGAGGAAGACTTCATTAACATCCTAGTTAAAAATTATATTTTTTCTCACTGTATGGTGACACAATAGTCCATATGAAAATTCAAGAAAGACGCTACATTTAAAAAAATGAACACTACATTTTAAAAACTAAAATACTTTATTTGGGAAGAATGAATTGAAAATAGCCTTTGTAAAGGATAAAGTAACTCTCATCAACAAATAGAACTGCTTTCCAATAAAATGGTTATACTTTAGGGCCGAGAAAGATTTAGTCTGTCCACCCTCCCCTTGCCCCGATTCCACCTTTTCTTTCTCAGTGACAGCCTCACATCTGCCTAACTCACCAACCAGAAACCCGGGGTCCTCCTCCATCCCCCACATCCCAGGCACCATGGCAGCACCAGCGTTGTTTACCCTCTACTGCACTTTCTGGCCCCCAGAGATTGGGTGGGGCCAAGTGACAAGTTCTAGTCCATGGGAATGATGCATGTCACTTTGGGCTGCGGCCTTTAATTGTCCATGTGAGTCCCTGCAGAGCTTTCCCTCTGGCACACCCACGGCCACCCTGAGACGCTCAGCCTGGATCCCAGAGGGACCCCGTGAGCCACCATAGTGCCTCTCGGACCTGAAAGGGACATGTCATACCAGTGAGAAACATGTCTTTGTTGTTTCAAGCTACAGAGATTACGAGAGTGTCTGGAGCCATCTTGACTGATACTACCACTAAGTCCTAGCTATTCTGTCTCCTTTAAAGCTCTCAACTTGAGCCTCTGCTCTTTATTCCCATTGCCACTACGATAGTTCAGTCTCCCATCATCCCTCATCTCCTACAGAGTCTACCCACCACCAGTTCTGTGCCCCTTGGACTCCATTTGTCTCCCCCTTTCACCATGTATTTAGGGAGACTACTTGTAGCTTCATCTCTGCCACCAAGCTCCCCAAATTGCACTTGAGTGGAATGCACTCAGCTAGGATGACACCGTAAGGACTAGGTGCCACTCTGCATACTGCAGTACAGCATTATTATAGTGTTATATTTTAATTCTTCATTCATCCATCTATCTGTTCATTACATGTTAAGCTACTGCATAATCCATGAAATATAAAAGAATAAAAAGAAATAAGCTGTTTTATTCCTCTAATTATAAGATGAACATATGTCCAGAGAAGCTTAGGGGCGCACCCAAATTATAAATGGGATAGTGGCAAATCTGAGATGAAAAGCCAGGAGGGCCCTAACCGGTTTGGCTCAGTGGATAGAGCTTTGTGCTTCGGACTCAAGGGTCCCAGGTTCGATTCCAGTCAAGGGCATGTACCTTAGTTGCGGGCACATCCCTAGTGGAGAGTGTGCAAGAGGCAGCTGATCGATGTTTCTCTCTCATCGATCTTTCTAACTCTCTGTCCCTCTCCCTTCCTCTCTGTAAAAAAATCAATAAAATATATTAAAAAAAAAAGAAAAGCCAGGAGGGAGGGAGAGAGAGAAAGAGATGGAAAGAGAGAGAGAGGAAAACATTACTTTGTTGTTCCATCTATCTATGTATTCATTGGCTGATTCTTTTATGTGTTTTGACTGGTGATGGAACCCGTAACCTTGACATATCAGGATGCCACTCCAACCAACTGAGGTCCTGGCCAGGGCCCAGAAGCCAGGTTTTGCTAACACCCAGACCAAAAAGCACTTGATACTATGCTCCACCAGACTATGCTCAGCACTCCACGGACATTTCAACCCTGCATGTGAGCTTGGGGACTCTTGCAGCCTAGGGTTCCCTGGTCTCTTGCAGATCACCAAATGCATGAAGACACATTTTAAAATGGTGCTGAGTATCAGAGGCAGACAGATTTAAACTCCATTCTAGCGTAGTAATCTTAGGGAAACCATTTATTTATTTATTAAAAATATTTATTTATTTATTTATTTTTTTTATTGATTTCAGAGAGGACGGGATTGGGAGAGAGATAGAAACACCAATGATGAGAGAGAATCATTATTTGGCTGCCTCCTGCATGCCCCACACCAGGGATTGGGCCCACAACCCGGGCACATGTCCCGACCAGGAATTGAACCATGACCTCCTGGTTCATAGGTAGATGCTAAACCACTGAGCCATGCCAGCTGGGTTTAGGGAAGCCATTTAACTTCCTGAGTTCTAAATGGAGAAAATATCAGTCCCATGAAGGACTGTTGGGAGGACTACATGAACCAGCAGAGTGCTTGACAGTGCTGAAGCATCACAGATGTTCACAAGGACTTCATTCTTCTTCCTCCTCAGCATAGCCACTGCCCCCGTTTTCATCAAGTTTGTAGGAACGTAACCATGCCCATTCATTTCGGGGCCCTCTGGCTACTTTTGTGCTACAACGGCAAAGTGCAGAGTCGAGGAGCTGCCACAGAGACTGTATGGCCTGCAACACCTCAAATATTTACACTTTGGCTTTGATAGAAAGAGTCTGCTGGCTCCTAGACTAAAACAACGACTATCTTCTACTTAGATTCAACAATAGTTAATATTTTGCCATTTTTATTCTGTGTGTGTGTGTGTGTGTGTGTGTGTGTGTGTGACCATTTGAAAATAAGCTGGGGGCAGTGATAAATTATCTCTCCGGGGGAGGACAAAGCTTTATTTGTAGCATTTGCAGAATTTTGTGGTATGAATACTCCCATCATTGAGTTTCAAGCTACTGAGGATAGTGGGATCACAAAATTCTTGAATATTTAACAACAGGCTCTGAGCGGGTAGGACCTGCCCTGGACACACCACGGAACACAGGATGCTTAACTCTTGTTTGGATGTGTGTCTCCTAAATTAAGAACACCCCCTGATACCAGCCAGAATACCATTATCACAGCTGGAAAGCTCACAACAGTTCTCTAATGCTATCTAATACCTGGTCCAGGTGCAGATTTCCCCATCAGACTCTAAAATGTCTTTTTTAGCTTTTTAAATTCCAACCTCATCAATCCTGGTTTACACATTTCATTTGTTGGCTATGACACTTTAATCCTTTCCCCCCTATGACATTGCTATTTTGAAAGGACTAGGCTGTGTTGTACAATGTTCCACACTCTGTATTTCTCTGATCGTTTCATTTAATTTGGTACTCTATATAGTACTCAGTTAGGCTCAAATGAATATTCAAAGGTGGCTCATATGGTATGTAACCCTACAATGAAGGGTAATTTAGATTAGGACATGACGGCACCCAGGAGGACATCACTGAAAGTTACTCAAATCCTAAAAGAGTGAATTTCTCTCACCTAATGATGATTTACCCCCAATTAACAGTAGAATCTGTTCTGTCTGCAGGGGTGGGCTCACAGGGTTTTGTATATACCAAGGAACTTGATAGAGTCCAGGTATAAAATGCCCATATATGACTCACCAGTAATGTAATCCTTCAGGGAAGGTATTGTTCCTCACAACCATCTGTAAACACTTCTACCACCTACACAAACTATTGGCTCAAAGGAAATCCTTTAGATATAATTCGTAGACTATAAATGAGATTCATTTTATATTATAAATTTGAATAGGCAATGGGTCTGTCCTGAGAAGACAGTCTTGTCCTATGTATATAAATGTGACAAAAAAACACATAATCTGGGGTTCAGACTTGGTTGACCATAAGATTCACACGGGGAATTTTAAAATGCAGATGCCTAGGCTCTGATCTTGGAGATGGGAGTCAATAAGGTCTTTAAAAAATGCTTCCTATGCCATTCCGATGATTAGCCAGATTTGCGAGTACCTCACTAGTGAGGGGATGTATTTTGAGTTACTCTATTTTAAAAATAGTTGTATTGTGTTTACATTGTTTCAGTCTTTGCAATGATCAAATTCAATTCAACAAGCATTTGTTGAGCACCTATGTAGCCTAGGTATGTATACTGTAGGGTTGGAGGTACAGAGAGAAATCCAGCTTCCCAGGACTGCCTGTAAGAAGGGCTGTTATAGAGCTACAGGGCCTGAAAGGGTTAAATAGAACACAGAGGGACTGGACCTATGACCTTGATTCTAATAGCTACAATAAAAACACCAGAAGTGAAAAAAAGATCCTTCCACTTTTGCCTTCACCTACATTTTGACTGGGCAAAGCCCAAATCAATGCAGAGACAGAACTTTCCATATTAGGATGTGGCTAGAAGAGCTAGTGGGCCCACACTGGCCCTTGTGACTGGAAAAACACTTTAGCTGTACGAAAAATAACTCACACACACACATACACACACTGAAGGTAAATTATTAGTCTGTGTTTTATTTCCTTGATATAGCACTTTAGGGCACTAATATAATTAAATCTCTAATTAATTCCACTGAGTAATTGTATACTTGTGGCATCACCTGAAATAAATTAAGTCCAATCCTCTGCTAGAGGATCCAATTAAAGGTATTAATACAGACAAGAGGATGCGAAGTACTTAAAGTTAAGTGCACTATTACTTAACATTTGTTAAAAGGTGTTACTAAACACCTTTTCAGCAATAAATGTTGCTTTATGAGGCCCATTTGAGAAAATCATTGTATGTCTCTAAAAACCATTTGGTTCGAAAGTACAAGCCTCTGCCATGGGATCTACTGTATTTTTCCATGTATAGGATGCTATTTTTTTTTCTAAAATAATTAGACTGAAAATTGAGGGGTGTCTTATACACAGAAGTCAGC